CTAAAGATATATTGTCTTTTAAATAAAGATGTTTATTATTATTATTGTTCATATGTTTTCTTTAATTTTTGATCACAACAAAATTTGTCATATTTAATTCACAGATGTATTCAAATTCCATCTAGAGAAAAATTGCATGAACTGTAGGAAATACACAAAAATGCAATTTAATGTTGCATAAATGTGCACTGATGAATTATTTTTTTTTTTTCTTTGAGATTATAAAAAAATTCCTAAAACTTTAGTATATTTTCCTACTATATAGAAAAGCAAAAACGTAATGGAGAATAGTCTTATGTGAATATCACTATACATGGAGATTCACAACTTATCCAACAAAATTTGGAAAGCATGAGAAATGGAGTCAAAAAAATTTTTGTAAAATCCTTACGGTTTCCGAGAAAAAAATTATTAAAGTTGTAGTACTTTAAACCAATACATAGATGGACAATTGTAGTCTCTAGCGTTATTCGTAATATGCATGGAGAGCCACGTGGCCTCAGCGACTCCGAATACTGAAATCCGATTTTATAGTCGTCGTTTCCATAGTGTTTACAATAGTTTTTTAGTAGTTAGTGTCAAAAATTCGTGTATAGCAACTCGGCGTTGATGGATATAGTTTTAATTTATGGTGAAGCAAGAAAACATTTATGGTGAAGCATTTGTGTTATGGTGAAACAAGACAGCATTTGTGTTAGTTCGTAGAAACTGAGCAAGACGGACCCAAATGTGTTTACACGTCGCGGCGGTGGATAAAATTTAAAACCACAAGTTAATTTTATTAATTAATAATAACAATAGCGGCAAAATCAGCTGAATTTGCTGATTAAAATAGGTGCTACAAAGTTCTATTTATTCCTTTCCTTACGAAATTCTTTGAAAGTTTTTGTCCGTTTTTATCACTGCCGTCGTCGGATTGTGCCAGGTCAGGTTTTACAGTGGANAGCGCGACGTCGCAACGCGGGAAGGACGTCGCGGCGCTTCGCGCCGCGACGCCGTCCGCTGCGCGGCCGGCGGAAAGAGCCTTCCGTCCGGCAAATCGGCGCTTTTCGGGGCGAGTGTGCGACACGTTCAGCCTTATCAGCTTTTAATATATATGAACGAGAAAATAAGAAAGCGTATTGAAGTCAATGATGGTCATTTTGAGAATCTTTGGTAATTCGTAAATTAGACGTAAGCATAATAAAATTTTCAGCTGTTATTGTGTTTGTCTTAATTCGTATTAACTCTAGTAACGTATTTCGTATTTTAATATAATTTCTTACTAGAAAGGTAGGCAAACTTCGCTGACGCGAAGTTTGACCTTTCTCTCGGGCCTTCGGCCCTCGGGCCGCGCTGAGCGCGGCCCGAGCACCGCTCCGCGGTGCTCTCCTCGCTGGTTAGTAGATATAACATTTTTTGTAACACCCTGTACTTTGGTTTTTACACACCCTGAATATAAAAGTTTGATGAGAATGTTTTTCAAAAAAGAGTAGGTCCCGCTGGAGAAAAGAATAAGAAAAGTGTCTTCCAAACTTCCAAAAAAGGCATCTGGTTAGTAAATATACAATTTTTCATCCAAAGACTACGTAGGTAAGGCAGAAATGGTAAAATAATAAGTCGAAACATCTGCTTAATAAATTCTCATTAAAAGACTGTAGTAAATAAAGACAAAGCTAAAAGTGAAAAGGAACAAAACTGCCCTTAATTCTTTAGAACATCTAGTATATGGATTTTTAAAAAAGCGACTTTTCTTCAAAAGATATAAAGAAAAAATTTTAAAAATGAATAAGGAAAAATCTAATCCACCTGTGTAAGTTTTACGAAGCATCCTGTACATAAATTGCAAAAAACATCTGGTTGGTAGGGTATACGATTTTTCATAAAAATATTGCAGACTTTTAATCTGCATCAGTATTGTGGAACACTCAGTATAAAGATTCAAAAAGACATCCGGTTAATAAATATACAATTTTTTATTAAAAGATTTTAGTAAATAAAAACAAAGTTAAAAGTGAAAAGGGAAAAAACTGTCCGTTTCGGATGTGGGTCAATTTTGTAGATCACCCAGTACATATATGGATTTTTTAAAAAGCGGCTGCTCAATAAATATACAACTTTTCTTCAAAAGATTTAATGAACAAATTAACAAAATGAATAAGAGAAATTCTGGTCCACCTGTGTCAGTTTTATGGAACATCCTGTACATAAATTGTAAGAAATATCTAGTTAGTCCGGTATAAGGTTTTTCATAAAAATATCATTATCTATATTACCTTTATCTACATTATCTTTAAATATGAAGTAATGTATAATGTATTTATTTTTCACTGCCGTGATTATAAATTGCAAAACATATTTTATGATTTTTTTTGTTTATTGGTATGCTTTTTGATGAATTTTATCTGGAATTTGGAATTTTAAGAATGATTATAGAGCCAAAAACTTTCTAGTCGATGTAATGTTATTAGTGATTCTAAATCTATTACACATTTCGTTGCATTACATATATTGATAAAAATTTGTTGAAATTATATAGTTTATTAAAAAATTTTTACATATTTAGTTATAGTTATATAAAATTAAATGGAAAAAGTTTTATAGAGCTTTATATATGAGATCTCAAGGTTTTCAAGTTTTGAATAACGAAAACAAAATTTTGCCAAAAAGAATTTTAAACGTTTGTAGTAATCGGCAGGTTTTTAATTTAAATTCACTGATGAAATTCATTGAATATTTGTTGTTTTTTTTTAATTTTAAATACTTATATGAAACAGAAAAAACATATTTTTTCGTCTAAAATAATTGTACTAAATTAAAATTGAATCATTGAATTATAATTAAAGTTACAAATATTATTTAATTATTTATTTTGCTTTTTTTAATGTAATTTTAAAAAGTAATAATTTTTATTAAATACCTGTAAGGGATAACTGAGCAATTTATATTTAAGGTTTTTTTAATTTAAGAGAAAATAAAAGGAAGATTTTTATATATTTAAAATGGTTCAGTATAATTTTTTAAATAGAATATTATTCAAAACTTAACGGTTTTCAATCTACGATATATAAAATTTAACATAAGAATAAATGAATATTTGTTTGAATATGTTATTTGTGGAAAAAAATGTTTTTTCAGGTTGTTATACTTTAATTTATGTATTTAATGGCTACCAGTTACAGATTTACATTGCACTTCCTTAGCTGTAGCTAGGAACCATTGACCTGCCTTTGTTATTTTCGGGCTAGGCTCTGTGGTGGTGGACTTGCTATTAAAACTCTAGGTTTGCCGTGATGTTCATTTCGGTTCTTGTTGTTGGTTTTAAGATCGTTATAAATGGAACTGCTCTTCAAATAGTGATGATCTCAGGTATTCCATAATGGTCTTAGTAACTGGTGGTATCCAGCCTTTTCAAATGATTGGTTCTTCTTCATTGACGGTATATTCAGTGATGTCTACAAAGGATTTATTTCTCAGAGCTATGTAAATATTGATTTTATTTTAAAATTAATATTTCGCGACAAAATATTCAAATGAATAGAAAAAAAAGTCAAATACTTAATTGATAATTGTTTGTACCTTGGTTTTTCAGATTATGCTTCAATTTATATATTTGACGGCCACCAGTTACAGATTTATATTGCACTTCCTTAGCTGTAGCTAGGAACCATTGACCTGCCCTTATTATTTTCGGGCTAGGCTCTGTGGAGGCGGATTTGTTATTAAAACTCTAGGTTTGCTGTGATGTTCAATTGCATTCTGGTTGTTGGTTTTAAGATTGTTATAAATGGAACTGCTCTTCAAATAGTGGTGATCTCAGGTATTCCATAATGGCCTTTGTAACTGGTGGTATCCAGCCTTTCCAATGATTGGTTCTTCTTCGTTGACGGCATATTCAGTGATGTCTAAAGGATTTGTTGCTCCGAGCTATGTAAATATTAATTTTATTTTAAAATAAAAATTTCGCGACAAAATATTCAATGAATAGAAAAAAATGTCAAGTACCTAAGTGATAATTGTGTTTGTACCTTGGTTTTTCAGGTTATGCTTCAATTTATGTATTTGACGGCCACCAGTTACAGATTTACATTGCACTTCCTTAGCCATAGCTAGGAATCTTTGACCTGCCTTTGTTATTTTTAGGCTAGGCTCTGTGGAGATGGGCTTATTAAAACTCTAGTTTTACCATGATGGTCATTTTTGGTTCCTGCTGTTGGTTTTGTAACTGATAGTATCGAATTTTTTCAAATGATTCGTTCTTCATTGATGGATTGTTCAGTGGTGTGTTTGCCAAAGTTTTCTTGTGACTGAACTGTGTAAAGAATAATGTATTTTAAAACAAAAATTTTACATGACAAAATATTTAAGTGAATAGGAAAAAAAATTATAGTAAAAATAATTAATATTTGGACAGAAATATAAAGGAATGAAATACTTTACAGAAAATAAGTATGTAATATGTGTTACAAATGTAATTTTTTAGATTTAGAATTTATAGTATAGATAAATTGATCTTTAGATAACAGGCTTTAAAGTTAAAACAATAAATGTAGATGAAAATGAATGGTTGAAATGATTGAAATGTTGACAATTAATGTTTTTTTCATAAAAATGTTTAAATTTGTAATAAAAATATATTTTTAATTTGTACCTTAGTTTTTCAAGCTGTATGATTTGGGTTATGTATTTAGTTAGTACCACTTACAGATTTACATTGCACTTCTTTAGTCATAGCTAAGAACCTTTAACTTGCCCTTGTTGTTGGGTTAGGCTCTGTGGGGTGGACTTGATATGATAATTGTAGGCTTATTGGGATGTCTGTTTCTGTTCTTGTTGTTGATTGAAGATCGTTATGAAGGGAATCGCACTTCAAACAATGGTGGTCTTTGGAGATGTTCCCTATTGGTTTTTGTAACTGGTGGTATTAATCCCTTTAGTTTTGTTCTTCTTCATTGACGGTATATTCAGCGATATTTCCACTAAGGTTTTGTTGCAACTGATCTGTGAAAAGATTTGTTTATTATATTTTTTCATTCTTCTATATTTTCATTACTTATTTATAAAATTTTAACCAGTCTTGTATCTAATCTGTATTTTGTAATTGTAAATTATTTTATTATTAAAGAGACATGTTTGTTATTTTAACCTTGTACTATGAATTCTTGTTTCTGCGATTTCTCCATATGTATGTAGGATGTATATTTACATCGAAGCATTGGAGTTCACTGTTTTTCCGATATGTTATGGTAAAAGTAGTTTATATCTTCATTGATGTGTTACGGATATTAGTAAAATTCTTTTTTCTTGAGGTATGGTCTATATCAGTATATTTTTGCATATAGGTCAGATTTTAATTTCTTCTAAAACTGTAGATGTTGTAATTTCTTATCCAATGTGTTTTAGTTTGCAGACGATGTGTAATTTCAATTTTAAATATTTGTGGTGGTGTTAGATGTAAGAATGCTTTGTAGATTTTTATATGTGGCCTGAAAGAAAATTAAAAAGGTTTAAAAAAAAATGAGACCATTGTAAAGGTAAAAGATACCTATAAATTTTAAGTTGAATTTGTTATTTTTTTTAGTATATTAAACAATTATTACAATTTAATGTTCAAGATTGTCATTAATATTGATATTAAATTAAATTAAAAAAAGATTAAATATTTTTTAATAATAATTTTGTGTTTTGGTTAATATTAGTGCAAGGCCCAGTACTTTGAGTCTCGGTGAAAATATGATTAACTGATCAGGTGATTAGAATGTACATATACCGATTTATTTTATAAAGTATAATCACAATGATGATTAGTTAATCCAGCTTTAATTGAGATTCAAAATACCAGACCTAAATATAATAAAATGTGAATGCAGTAACTTACGATATTATCAAAATTGTGAAAGAAGACTGCAATTCTTATAGTCCTGTGCATCCAAGAGGTCTGGGAGTAGATAATGGTGGTTAAATTATTAGATTGCTATTAAGTAGTAAATAGTAATAAAGTAATTACAATGTATTTGTACAAATTTGAAAAAAAAGTATTACTATAGATACTATAAAATATATAATATGTGAAATGTGCGAAATATTATAAATAAACAGAGACTGACAAATTTAAGGTTTTTTGTCTAAAAAATAAATTATATAAATATATTAAAAGAATAATAAATCATATTTATAATATGGACTGATATTTTAAATACATTCTGTAATTTTTATCTACTGGAATATTTCTCTATATATAATTAATTGTTGACAGATTGAAAATATCAGAGAGTTTATATTATATATTTTATATCACAAAAGCTGTTAAATATTGGGATAGAAAATTTACTTGAATAATTTTTGAAGGAGAAAAATGGAAAAGTTTTTACATGTTATAAATGAATTTGAATTTGATGATGGGATAAAAAATAATAACAACATTAAATATTAAATTAATGATTTTGAGGGGAGGTAAGTTATTATATTAAATTATGTCTCACTGAAACGAAATTCCGAAAAATCTATCCTCGTAAAAAAGGCAAAGTAGGTATATAAATCAGAAATTGCTAGAGGCATTTGGAGACAGTTTTGCCTAAAGTGGTGGCATAGTATTTGCTCCATATCTGATAAAACCGCCAGTTATGTTACGAAGGAAGCATCGGATTTTTCGAATTAATAGAGAGTATAAAAAAATGATAAAAATAACAATTTCGAAAATGTGATATTTGCATAATTTAATAAAATATATTGTTATTATTTCTATATGAGACTAATATTGAAAATAAATTATTAAGGTTTTAATACATGATTTTAGATTTAGTGACGGAAAAAAATATATTTTATATCATAAAAGTTGTTAAAAATTTGGATAGAAAATTTAGTTGAATAATTTTTGGAGAAAAAGTTTTTACACATTATAAAAGTTTTTAATACATAATTCGAATTTACAAACAATAACAACGTTAAATATTAAATTAATGATTTTGAGGCGAGGTAAGTTATTATATTAAATTATATCTCACTGAAAGGAAATTCCGAAAAATCTATCCTTGTAAAAAAAGGCAAGGTATATTAATCAGAAATTGCTCGAGGCGTTTGGAGACAGTTTTGCCTAAAATGGTGGCATAGTATTTGCTCCATATCTGATAAAACCGCCAATTAATTATATTACGAAGGAAGCATCGGATTTTTCGAGTCAATAGAGAGTATAAAAAAATGATAAAAGTAGCCATTTCGAAAATGTGATATTTGTATAATTTAATATAATACATTGTTATTATTTCTCTAAATGAGTATAACATTGAATATTAAGGTTTTAATACATGATTAGAATTAGTGTTGGAAAAAATAATAACAAAAACATTAAATTATTGATTTTAAAGTAAGATGAAATGTAACTGGAAATATCTTTTGAAATTAAATTTGGAATAATATATCCTTCTACATACGGCACGGTATATTAAGAATTGCTCGAAAGCATATAAGGGCATTCGTATTTAAAATGGTATAATATTTGCCTCATATTTGATACCAAGTGCCAAATAAAAAATTAGAAGGAAGTATTGCCTGTTTCCATGCGACAGAAAAAATTCTCAGATATGAAAATGAGAAGAAAAGACATTATGGTATTGTAAGATGCAGTTTAATATGCCAATATTATTTATTGAAATATAAATATTTCTTATTTCCGATTATACGTTTGCTATAAATAGCAAACCATTTTCCCAATTCTAAGATCAAAACATGTTGTTTTATTCGATTTAAAGCAACTGATTGCACGATGCCAAATTAGCCTGTGCTTACATGATCTATGGAAATATAGGGAAAGTAATTAATTCTTGTTATAGAATAACTAATTATAATCGGAAAAGTTTGTCTACTAAAAATGAGATATTATATTGATATATTTGCAAAAATGTTACACATAGTTAGTGTTTTGTAATGATAATATACCAAACTGTCAAATGGAAAAGGCTGTAATACTGAAAACATATTTGGAGTATTAGATCAGAGAGTATCAAATAAGGAAAAAGTCCAGTTACTGACCTTCATGAAAAGTTTCTCTCAAACCTCATGGATGAGGTGTACAATAAAACATATTATAGTACTTCTCTGTACACGACGTTTCGTGTGTATATGTTTTCAGCGTTTGGTAAAAGCTTACCTTGTTCTGGACGTTGTAACATATAAATTTTAACGTCTTCTATGTTTTTAGCTCTCGAAAAAGCTACATAGAGTTGTCCGTGAGTAAATACGGGTTCCTCCAGATAGATACCCACTCGGTTGAAGGTCTGTCCCTGCGATTTATGAATCGTCATGGTATAAGCTAACTGAACGGGAAATTGCCTTCTTTTTAATTTAAATGGTAACGTGTCACCTCCTGTTTTGAGGTCTATACGGGGAATAAAAACTCGTTCTCCAGTAGGTCTGCCACTACTGTCGGTTTTTTCAGCGTCTATGTACTGGTTTCCCAATAAACGAACAATTAATCTAGTACCATTGCACAAACCTTTTTTTAGGTTTAAATTGCGTAAAAGCATTATTACGGCGCCTTCTTTTAAGACCAATTTGTGTGGCGGAAGTCCACTGGGAGTTAATGAATTTAGAAATTCGACAGTGTAATTTGCCACTTCGGCTGCCGGGTCATCCGTTGTATCCACACAGTCAGCGCTACAGTAAGTTTTGCTCAGGCCCTCTAATTTTTGCAAAACTTTTTTATTAATGGAATGGCTAATATTATTTGTTGGAACTAAAATGGCCCTACTTATGGCCACTGTTGGATCCATGTCATCAAAGCAGAACTCGATAAGATCTGGGACACTGGTAACGTAACAGTTTGTGGGTATTTGTACAATATTACCATATATTGTTCGTCGTAGAGGCTGTAAAGTTCCGTTACCTAAATTCAGGAGCCATGTAGCAAACTCGTGATTCTGAATAGCCCTTACGTTTGTTTGCAAGTCGTAATTTGTAAATAGAGGCCAGTGTCGGCTACTTTTTATACAGGCGTTTACTATTGTACATCTATTTCCGCCAACGACTACCGGTAGGGTTTGTCGGAAATCTCCGCCTAATAATGTCACTTTATTGCCGAAGGGTCTGTTATCGCTGCAGATGTCTCGTAGTGCCCTTTCGATTATGTTAAAAATAAGATTTGTCACCATGGAGACTTCGTCAATTATTAAGAGTTTACATGAGGCTATGTAACGACCTTCACTTGTAGTAGGGGAGATTCCGGTAGTCGTCGTTTCGT